CGGGCCCGCTGCAGCCGGTCGCTCCGCTGGCTCGGTTTGCTCCGCCTGCACGAGCTCATTGTGGTGTTCAGTTAGAGGACAGAGGTTCGAACACGTTCAACGCCGAAACGTCGCCTTCGTGAAACACCAAGAAAAACAGCTCACAATCCGAAACCATGTTTGCGCGTGCATTTTAAATGACAAGGGACATATTTTGTCTCTATTCAAGATTCATCTTTGCAATTTTGAAATTTGAGTCAGGCGAGGTTGTTGGGGGATGGAGGCCTCAGGGGCAGTCGCCTCCTGAGCCGCCTGAGAGGCAGTTTAATGTCGCAGAACACAATCCCTGCTGTGTGTAGGCAACCTACAACCCCCCCCCCCCCCCCCCCCCCCCCCCCCGCCTTTTCCAAATCAGCCGAACTCCACTTCAGAATTCATCTTGCATCACGTGCACGACAACGACACATCTTGAAACGGACAAAAAAACATGTTTACATTTATTTACAGTGTGGTGTCTGATAAGTCGACACACGTAGCTTGGCCGAACAGTCCGTATGATTTCTAACCGGGTACAGAGCCAAAATATACTACCTAAAAGGGCCTCGCATAAATTCCATTTCGCTCGTGCCAATAACGCGCCGTAACTCACGGCGATCACACGCTGCGCGTCTTCGTTAGGCTCGGGCGTTATTTGCAGAAGAGACCGAGGTGGTCGTTACCTGGCCATGCGCTGCGTTTAATTAGCGAGAGGCTGTGTCAGAGTGAGGGAGGAGAGAGGGGGGATACTCGCACGCCACCAGCGCGACGCACGCTGACCAAGCGGGGGGCGGGCGAAGTGGGTGGCGGGGAGACCCGGGAGACCGGCCAGCTGAGAGAGACAGAGAGAGAGAGAGAGGGAGAGAGGAAGAGTTGCGACCAAACAGCTCATAAAAGTGTAAACTGGCTGAATTCGCGCTTTCTCAAATTTCCTCCGTGTTTATTGTTTACTCTGGCAGGGCGGCGGCGCGTCGCAGATGTCCGCGGCGGCCTGGCGGCGGCTGGTGGGCGCGGGGGGAGCTGACAGTGGCTGACAGCGCGTCCCGCGCTAGTCCCGCGGGACTGCTTTGCGCCGGGCGCACCGTAATTCAGCAGCCATTTGAAAGCAAGCGGCTGACATTTTAACGCCCGTCGCCGGCGTCGCCGCGCCGCCAGGGCCGAGCAGGGCGCTCAGAGCTCGTTGTTGCAGCAGACCGAACGGCACAATACATTGCTTCAACTTCCATGTGGGTTATAACGACGGCAGTTCACATACTGCACTGATATTTTTCGTTCATATTTTGTAATGTGATGTGCCGATTTTAAGCACGAGAATTCAATCCTATTTTTTTCGATTTTAAATTTGCCCTTTGCTCTTCAATGGGGTATAGTATTAGTATTTATAGTATTTTTCTTGGCGATTATTGAAAGGCCATGAAATCGCGGCGGTGTGATATAGTTCTTGAAAATTTAAAGCACATTATCGCCTTTTGGTTATGCTTTATTTTCGATTCCGAAAAAGAGAAAGGCTTTGGCTGCGTCTCTTTGACTGTATGCAAAGAGAAACACGCGCACACTCCCGTCACTTCTTGCTCAGCTAAACTCGGCTCACCAGACGTCTTTACGCGGCCCGCAGCCCACAACAGGTGCAAGGAGTGCGCAACACTCGGGTGTAGTTTTGCTCAAAAATGATGCGGCTTGGTTTAGACTAAATCGCCTGCAGACAACGGTCACACATATTTTCACAGCTTAGGCAGATTCGCACCCGGATGGAAATAAGTATATCCAAATGACACTTTTGGGTATACTTTTGTAAAAATTTGAAAACAAATTGTAGGTGTTCTTAAAGTATAGCAGATTGGAACGGCAACACTTTGGTGGCACTTTCGGCATACTTTTTTATACTTTTTGTATACGTACTATTTTTACACTTATAAGACACTTTGGCCAATGGCCAGTCACATTTTTAGCTCTTTCTTTCCATGCGGGCAACACTGGAGTGCACTATCAAGGTACGTAAATACATTCTTTCGATACATATGCTATACAGTATGTATACGTACGCCGGGAGCGTCGGTATGAAAAGAATATATATGTGTGATGACTGTTCACTTCACATGCAAGAGTCATTTAATTTCTGGGACTTTCAATTAATATACCTGCTCTACACACATGAGTCATGTGTGCGCGGCGGTGGGTGCGCAGACTGCAATAACCAAACGCACTCGATAACCATCGCCATCAATTATTGCCCCGATAACTGCTACGTTGAAAGAGTGGGGATGAGGGGAGAGGGGGGGAGCCGGGGGAAGTGAAGGGAGATCAGGGAAGGAAGGGAGAGTAGGAGAGGGGAGGACAAACAGCAAGCAGCACATACATACGCTACTCGGCAGCACAGGTAGTCACCGGTTGAGTTGTTGCACCCTTCACCTTACCTTCACCTCTCTCATCAGATTGTGAGAGATAGACAAGCCACTGAACAACAATATCTTTTGGGCGTGCACTCCAAGCTCGAGCCAAGTCCGCCGCGGCCTGAGCCGCTCTCGCCGGGCCGGGCCTGGGCCGGGCCGCGCTGCCGTTGCGGGGGAGTGTCCGAGGCAGCTGACTCTCCCATACGTTACAATAAACGTTGCCGACGCTGTCTAGTTATAAACGAAACGCGATAGAGGCCGAATTTATCACCGAATCCACACCCTTCCTGCGAGGGTCAGCCTGGGCAGGACAGCGGCGGTCGGATAGGCGTGAGGCGGGGAACTCCACGGGCGTATATACATACCGGTCGAGTCCTTCTGATTTCTGAACCTCTCCCCCCCCAACTCTCTTGAGCCTCGCAGAACATCGATTCGATTCATTCAACTGCAACAGTCGTGACCGGGTCGTGACGAGGATGTCCCGTACTCGTTTCTGCGGAGAGGAGTCGCGCGACGCGGGTATTTACACGCGTAATAAGTGCCCAGGTGTAGTAATTCCACCCGCCATCACTCTCGTCGCGGCGCAGCCCGCCGTAGGTCACCCGTGGGAATCGCATTTGCATCAGGTGTAGGAAGGGGTGGGCTGGTGCCCCCCCCCCCCCGCATCCGCAGACCGCCCGCCAAACAAACTAGAGTTGATAATTGAGATGATGATGATCGGAATCCGGTCTCAGCGTATTACAGGTCCCGTCTGAAGGCGAGTCTCGTCCCGGCGGGGGAGGGGGGAGGGGGAGGGGCCCGACGACGGGATCCTGGCGGACCCGGGCGGCACGGCGCTCATGGCACGTCATGGCGCCCGCACGCCCGCCCGGCTGCCTGCCGCCGGCGCGCGCTGCGCTCTGGTGACCGCCGGTGCAACTAACCCGAGGGGTGGGGGAGCCGCCAGCGCCGCGCAGCACGCCGAGCACAGCGGGCCGGCTCGGCGCGGCGCCGGCGCGGCGTTCAGTCAGTCACCGGCCGGTTGCGAGGGAGGCAGGACGCACGCTCCGCCTCCACACCAGATTCACGTCCGCGACTTCGACTTGTTCGGTGACGAGTGTGTGAAGTGTTGTGAAGTGTCTCCACCGACCCCGCTTTACTGGATTATAACTGGAATACTGTGCAGTGATTGGATTATCGTGTTTGAATCTTGTGCCACTCTCTTTGGATAACGTTTGGTTTCGTCCTGGATTTGAAACCAAACGCGCGTGCGTGTTGTGTGCTGTTGTGATCATGTGCTACGAGCGGTGATATGGCAAACGCCAAGACCACCATGATGTTGCTGTGGATCTCCGCCGCGCTGCTGGCGTGCGCCGCGGCGCGCAGCGTCGTGCTGCCGTCGGACGCGCCGCGGGACTGTGAGTGGGTGCCGGGCGCCGAGGCCGCGGACGGCGCCGACGTGTCGCTGTCGGAGAGCGCCGCCGTCCTGGCGTGCAAGCTGCGCACCATCGGGGGCACCGACGGCCTCCTGGCCAACCTCACGGCGCAGCAGGCCGAGCGAGTGACGGCGCTGCGCCTCGAGTGCAGCGACGTGCTCTTCTTCGAGAGCTCGCTCGAGGAGCCCCGCCACGCTGGCGGCGGCGGCGGCTTCCTGGGCCAGCTGCGCGCCCTGCGCCGGCTCTCCATCGAACACTGCAAGATCCGCTACGTCCCCGGCTCGGTGCTGGCGCCCCTGCGCGACCTGCGCCACCTCTCCATCCGCACCCACAACACCGACTGGTCCGCCATGGCCATGGAGTTCAACTCCGAGTCCTTCCGGGGGCTCGCCGAGCTGCGCAGTCTCGACCTGGCCGACAACAACGTGTGGACGATGCCGCCCGAGCTGTTCTGCCCGCTGTCGGGGCTCACGCACCTCAACCTGAGCCGCAACAAGCTCCAGAACGCCATGGAGCTGGGCTTCTCCGACTGGGGCGAGGGCCCCGCCGCCCCGGGCAAGTCGTGCAACGCGGCGCTGGAGGAGCTGGACCTGTCCAGCAACGCACTCACCGCCCTGCCAGACAACGGCTTCACGAGCCTGCGCTCGCTCCAGAAGCTCTTCCTCCAGGACAACGCCATCGCGGCGCTCGCGGACCGAGCCTTCGTCGGGCTCGTGGCGCTCCAGACCCTCAACGTGTCGAGTAACAGGCTAAGCGCGCTGCCCCCGGAACTGTTCCAATCATCGCGCGACCTGCGCGAGCTCCACCTGCACAACAACAGCATCAGTGTGCTGGCACCCGGGCTTCTGGAGGGTCTCGACCAGCTGCAGGTCCTGGACCTGTCCGGCAACGAGCTCTCCAGCAGCTGCGTCAACCGTGACACCTTCTCGGGCCTCGTCCGCCTCGTCGTGCTCAACCTGGCCCACAACGTCATCACGCGCGTGGACGCTCAGGTGTTCCAAGACCTGTACAGCCTGCAGATCCTCAGCCTGGACCATAACGGCATCGAGGTGATCGCGGAGGGCGCCTTCTCTGCTCTCAGCAACCTGCACGCCCTCACCCTCTCCCACAACAACCTGGTGCGCCTCGAGTCGTACCACTTCTCTGGGCTCTACGTGCTGCACCAGCTGTATGTGGACCACAACCGCCTGCAGGCCGTGCACGCGCAGGCCTTCGAGAACTGCTCCAACATGCAGGACCTGAGCATGGCCGGCAACAACCTGACCGAGGTCCCCGCGGGCCTCACGCACCTGCACTTCCTCAAGACGCTGGACATGGGCGAGAACCGCATCACGACGCTGTCTAACGAGTCGTTCCACGGACTGGACCAGCTGTACGGCTTGCGCCTCATAGACAACCGGGTGCGAACCGTGCCCAAGGACACCTTCTCCGCGCTACCCTCCCTGCAGATCCTGAACCTGGCCGACAACCAGGTCGAGACGGTGGAGCGGGGGGCCTTCGGCACCAGCCCCACCTTGCACGCCATCCGGTTGGACGGTAACCGCCTCACTGACATATCTGACATGTTCCATGACTTGCCCGGCCTCGTCTGGCTCAACGTGTCCGCCAATGCCATCGCCTGGTTCGACTACGCGCTGCTGCCCAACAGTCTCGAGTGGCTCGACATGCACCAGAACCGCATCGAGCGACTCAAGAACTACTTCGAGAAGGACGGCGAACTGCAGATAAAGATGCTGGACGCGAGCTACAACCTCATCACTGAGATCGGCGAGTCCAACGTGCCCAACAGCGTCGAGACACTGCTCCTCAACAACAACCACATCCGGGAGGTGCGCCCCAACACGTTCGCGCGCAAGACGAACCTGAGCCGGGTCGTGCTGTACGCCAATCGCATCGAGAAGATGGAGCTGGCCGCCCTCCACCTCGCGCCTGTGCCCGAGGACCGCGAACTGCCCCAGTTCTTCATTGGCGGCAACCCCTTCTACTGCGACTGCACCATGGAGTGGCTGCAGCGCATCAACCAGCTGTCGCACCTGCGCCAGCACCCGCGCGTGCTCGACCTGGACTCGGTGACGTGCCGCCTCGCCCACTCGCGCGGCAGCCCCACGCGGCCCCTGCTCGACCTCGTGCCCGCCCAGTTCCTCTGCCCCTACGAGACGCACTGCTTCGCTCTGTGCCACTGCTGCGAGTTCGACGCGTGCGACTGCGAGATGACGTGCCCGGACAACTGCACGTGCTACCACGACCACAGCTGGGCGAGCAACGTGGTGGACTGCAGCAACGCGGGCTACCAGCAGGTGCCGCAGGGCATCCCCATGGACGCCACCGAGATCTACCTGGACGGCAACAACCTCACCGACCTGGGCAGCCACGTGTTCATCGGCAAGAAGAAGCTGCAGGTGCTCTACCTCAACGGCAGCCGCATCGACACGATCCACAACCGCACGTTCAACGGCGCCACCTCGCTGCGGGTGCTGCACATGGAGAACAACCACCTCCAGGAGCTGCGCGGCGAGGAGTTCGACCCGCTCAAGAACCTTAACGAGCTCTACCTGGACCACAACGCCATCACCAAGGTGGGCAACAAGACGTTCGCGGCCATGCGCGAGCTGGAGGTGCTGCGGCTGGACGACAACAAGATCGAAGACTTCAAGCCCTGGCAGCAGCTGGCGGCCGCGTCGGAGGGCGGCCGGCTGGCGCAGGTGTCGCTCGACGGCAACCTCTGGACGTGCGACTGCGAGCACGTCCCCCAGATCGAGGCCTGGCTGCGCGACAACACCAACGTGGCCGTCAGCATGCGGTGCGCCGGCTCCACCGAGACCCTGCAGGAGGTGGTCGCGCGCTGCAGCAGCGACGCCAGCCAGAACGTGGTGGCGACCAGCGTGGTGCAGCGCGGCACCGTCTACACAGCCCCGCTGCTCAACCACGACTACGTCACAATCGTGGCAGCTACCCTGGCCGGCGTGGTCGTCGTCCTGCTGGTGCTGGCGCTCGTCTTCATCTTCCGCCACGACGTCCGCCTGTGGGCGTACGCTCGCTACGGCGTGCGCATCCTCAGTGACCCGGCGGCCGAGGCGGGCGACGAGAAAGACCGCCTGTACGACGCGTACCTGGCCTACTCGGTGAAGGACGAGGACTTCGTGAGCCAGGTCGTGGCGGCCGAGCTGGAGCAGAGCGGCTACTCCCTGTGCCTGCACTACCGTGACATCCACCTCATGAGCGGCGGCGCCAGCTACCTGGCCGACGCCGTCCTGGGCGCGTCGGATGCCTCCCGCCGCGTCGTCCTGGTGCTGTCGCTCAGCTTCCTGCAGAACGAGTGGGCGCGGCCCGAGTTCCGCGCCGCGCTGCAGGCCTCGCTGGAGCAGAAGCGCGCCGCCATGCGTCGCCACAAGGTGATCCTGCTGCTGACCACGGCGCTGGACGCCGTCACGCTGGACCCCGAGCTGCAGCTGCTGCTCCGCACCTGCACCGTCATCTCGTGGGGCGAGAAGCGCTTCTGGGAGAAGCTGCGCTACGCCATGCCGGACGTGGCGCTGCAGCAGCGCAAGAAGCGCGCCGCGGCCGCGCCAGTCACGGCCAAGCTGGCCGGCGGCGTGGAGGGCGGCCCCGCGCGCTACACGGCCGCGCCCACCTCGCTGGACGCGTGGTACAAGTACAGCGTGCCGCAGCACTTCATGCAGCCCGGCGTGCACTCGGCCTGCGCGCTGCGGCACCACGAGGACGACCGCGCGTCCACGGCCAGCCCGCACCACCAGGACCAGGCGCAGCAGCAGCTGTACAACTACGCGACGGCGCCGTCCGAGCAGAGCCAGCACAGCTACGTGTCGATAGACCGGCACAACCCCTACGGCCTGCACCACTCGTTCCGCCGGCAGCGGGACAGCCACGTGTACAGCACCATCCCGGACACGTCGTGCCAGCCCGCTCTGTGCAGGCTGGCCAACGGCGAGTTTGCTGTGATCCAGGCCGCCCCGGGCCAGTGCCCCGGCGGCGCGCCCGGCAGGACTTACTTTGTGTGAGACACCAGTCCGGTGAGACAGGGTTTGTGTGTGTGTGGCGAGTGAGTGCCACAGTAGTCACCTGAAAGTGCCGAAAAGTGAAGGCTAAAGTGACGGCATTTTGAGTATTCTGATAAAAATTCTCAGTATTTATTGCTTTCTAGCTCTGTTAATATCTTATTTGGCATTCCAAGCTTTAGTTATGCATTTCAGTGACATTGACGACTGAATTCGTTCAAGTACCTTATTTATGCTTATGTTTAGTAAATTATCTGATGAAACTTTCACCCATAAATTTTTATGTATTGTTTTTAATTATGGCCAAATTTTCAAACCAGTGAGTGTGAAGTTGTTAGTACATGTTTTAAGTTTGATTTCACCAATGTTTTGTTTTCATTTTTGTTCTTCGGGGCTTAGGTTTTAGTGAGTCTGTCATGTTGTTATTTATGTCTGCAAGATAATGCTCTCTTTATATGTAATCATAATCGATGGCTGTGCAAAAATGTAGCAAAATGGTCATGTTGTCACCATTTCTTAGGCGAGTGTACTTTTCTGTCTTGTTGATCGACGGGCCCCCACTGCGCCCTCCCCTACTCTCTACCTCATCATAGACTGACCAGAGGGTCTTTATCGTGGCCGCGATGACCCAACCAATGAATGAGCAGCAGAACTGCATCGAGCGAATAGGAGTTTACGCCTTATTATGTGTGAGCATGTTTATACTTTATTACTCAGCTGGTCGATATATCATAGCCTGAGCCACAATGGCTATCACTGCGCAGCCGCACAATGGACTGACTGGGTGGCGATTCGACGTGCTTGTCGAGGTGCTCGCACAAAGCGCGTCTCACCTTTGGCCGCCTGCTGCTGCCTCCCTGCCCGCTCTGCCCGCTCTGCTGGCCTCGTCTTTACTGTAGATTTTTTTTTACTGGGGCCGCGCTTTTGTTTTGTGATTAACGGAAGCTGCCATGTTATGGAATAAAGAGCTTCATTGACAGGCGCGAAGTCTCGTCGATCGTCGCGAGAAGCACCGGGGCCTGACTCATGACTCATGTGTACTCTGTAATAGGACCACAATGTAATCATCGCACATATGTAATGATTGCCGATTTGTACTTAATTTCGCCCATTTAAAAACAGCTAATGTATCCACAGAAAATTGTGACATTTTAAGGAACCAAAATATATTAATTATTGTGATTATTCTGCTCATGTAAAAATTACATAAATGTATCATGACATATTCATGTAAGCACTGTCGAGTCGTTGTTTTGGTGTCACCTCCCACGTTATTACTATAGCTTGTCATGAGGTCTCCGAAATAGATGTGGTACCTATATAGTTATGTTCAAATTATGTAAGATAAGAATGTATTATTTGTGCATATAAGTAATATTGTTTTGTAAATTATGAATTGACTGTATGTTTTGTTAATACTGCACATTTACTTATAATTTATTTATGTTCGCTTGCCTATCAAGCAGAAATGTGATACTTAGGGTCAAAGAATGGAGGTACAACTGTGATCAAATGTACAGAGGGCCTCTAATTGGCCAACAAAACTTCCAAGTGTGATAAAAAGACCCTGTAATAATTGTGGCTCAACCAACTTTTGCACATTGTTTTGTTGTGATTACTATGGATATGTATTTCAGAATTCTTTAATTAGCCTTTTATAATATCTAAAGCGTAATTTGTGTGTGATTCAGAATCAAAGGTACTTACAAATTCAAATTATTTTTGATTCTGAATCACAAATTGTTTGTGACGAAAACGCTGTCTCTCTGAATACTATTTCCAGTGTAATACGTTTTAAAGTGAAGTCAGCACAAAGGGAGCTGATCACCACAATCATATACTGGTCACTTATTTATATAGAAATGTCTTCAATTTTCTATGATGCTATGTACATTGATTTTATTTCCTGAAAGTCTGATACTAGATCATAAATTGTTATGTATTACTGTACATATGCCTTTTGTTTCTGTGTATAAAAGTGTACATATTAACATTTTATAAATAAATATTATATGCGTTACATTATTTAACTCATATTTTGTTCTTCACCCCAAAATTTCCTTGAACGAGATGAAAAAAAAAAGTGAGGAGGAATAATTGCTACGTTAGATGAACAATAACACTAAATATACTTAAAAGCCCACTTCAAATGCAGAGGAAAACATTGATCTATAAAAATGGCAAAATTAATAGAAAAAAGACAAGTAAAGAAAAGTTTGATGCTGCGCTGTCCATGGCTCTGAATGAGGGATGATGCGTGTGCTGAGGAGGGACAAGGGGAATAATTACACGGCAAACTTGTTTTCAGCTCAGAATCTATTCAGCCAGCAAACCGATACATCAGGCTACATAGTCAGTTTACAGAAGGATTGCATTGCCAAACAGCAGACAGGCCGGCTCACATGTCTCGGAAGGGGCCTAAAGGCAGGCTAAAGAGGACGACATGGCGACTACACTGATGAATCCATGAATTATACAGGACGGCATACGGCCGCGAGCGCGGCGCGGGCGCACGGCAGCATCTCAAATAAATAATAATGGCGGCGCAGACTCAGGCTCCGGCAGGCTCCGCGGTGACAGCGGCGGGTTCCCACGCCGCGCTCATAGACCCACAGCCGGGCAGCAATGGCGACCGTAATGACGGGTAATGACTGCGGTGCGCAGCGGGACGCATCAAGGTCGCGGCGCCCAGCTGGCTTGTCAATTGACCTCCCACACCACACGACCCGCCTGCAGGCTGCGGTGTGCGACAGGACACACAGTGCAGGAAGCACGAGAATCAGCTGAGGCTGAGGCGGAGGACTTCAACTTGAAATAGGGTTATCACGACTATGCTTGCTCATAGCGAACGACACTGGCAAGAACAAGCATTCGATGCGAGGAATTGAGTGGAATTATTCACACTCTGGAAATTTTTGACTGTTGTAACGCAAAGCATTTGAAAGGTCGTGATCTTTCAATCATGGTTATTCCGATTGATTTGTTTAAGATATTGATATCTGCACATTTTTGGGCGGAATTGAAATAAGATCTGCAAGCAAGAGAGTGGAGTGGGATGGATTAGTTGACCTTGGCCCTGGCTTACACTCGCGGATGGGAAATGCAAGGAGGGAGAGAGGGGCTGACGGTAATTATGATTCAGCTCCGCTACACGAATGTTGTGGTTTGTTGGGGCGCCCTGAGCAGTACGGCCATAGAGCCCGCATGCCGTACCGCTAGCGCGCCGGCGGCGGCACTGACAAGCGCGGCGCAATTCAAAATACCATCCCAACCTTCTGATTTACGTCAGCGGGCATCAGGTGACCACGCGCAGTACAATTAGGCTGCATTATAGGCTTTATTAATGCGCAGTTTGCCTTCATGTGTTCGATTGCGCGCCATAAATCTGAGCTGGGGGCTGCTTTGCTGTCCGAAGCGCCACCGGGACAGCATGGGGCGACGCGCGCCCGCGGCAACCCAAAAAATGATTCTGCTACGTTCCTCTTCCTCTATAGGCGCGATTCAGAGAGAGAGAGAGAGAGAGAGAGAGAGAGAGAGAGAGAGAGAG